AGGCTTCTTTCTCTCTTGCTCACTTTACCTATTATTGTTGTCTGGCTATGACTCTGATGGTTCTTTCTCTATGGGTCATCTTTCTCTGTCCTGGAATGTAGCCCCTATCTGGAATGCACTCTTCTTACGACTGAAGGAAAAAAACCCACGGCAGAAGTTTGGGATGGCCACTGCAGCTTATGCTCAGATAGACTGAGCATCCCTTCCACTCTCATTCCTTTAGTCAGTCATTGGCCAAGAAAGATTCAATGCGGAGGGGAAATACACCACCCCCCACCTCGCCCCTAGAACTAGGCAGCACAGGTCACATGGTAACAGGTAGAATGTATAATCCACTTAGGAAATACAGTCCTAAAGCAGGCAAACAAGAAAGCAGGGATTGCTACCCTAGTATCAGTCAAGGTAGAATTTGGGCTCAAAAGTATCAAATGAGATAAAGAAATTCACTTCATACTGCTAAAGACGCAATGCGTAATGAAATTATATTGTGAGTATCTATATACCAAAACACAGTGGCCACCTTTATAAAGCAAAAACTACAAGAGATGCAAGCAGACAAATATACTTATAAAAGAAGATATCTATATATTCTTTTAGTTCAAAGCAAGTTAGTGGACAAAAAATAAACAGACGTGAAAGACCTAGACAACATAATCAATAACTAGATCTTAAGGATCCCTATCAAGTCATACGCTCTGATATAAGAAAATCCACTTTCTTCTCAAGGGCACATGGATCCTTAATGAACATCAAAAGCATCAAGAAAAAAGAGAAAAGGCACAAACACAAGAGAAAGAAGTGACAAGAGGGAAATAATTACTGAAATAATGAACATTTTTAAAAGTCATAAAAGACTACTTTACATTTCTGCAAATAAATTTTAAACCTGGATGAAATGATAATTTCCTAGGAAAATACAATTATCTAAAACTGACCTCGGTAAAGATCGAAAGTTTAAATATTACAAATTCCAGAGGGGGAAAAAATAAATTACCAAAGAAACACCCAGCCAAAAGCCCAAGATAGTTTTACTGTGAAAGTATTCTACTTGTGAACCCCCAAGAGAAACACATTTGCCAAAATGGACTCCTCATGGTTAACGGGGCCCAAATTCATAACCAGAGTCTAGTAGCTATTACTGACAGAGACCTCTCACACACTCCGCCTTTTGGGAAAAGCCACAGATTGAGCTTTCAACCTCCAGTACTATCTCCCTGCCTGTTTACACCACCAGAGTCAACCACTGCAGGGAAACTCTGGTTTTGTCTTTCAACCAATGGACTACCACATACCCCCCACAACCCCAAACAGAAAGACTTAAACTGTATACTGACCAATCAGAACTGCAACATTTAGACCAATCGAAACTGCACAATTTGGAAACCTCGTTTGCATAAAATTGGGAACTTGGGTGGGAACTTTTCCTACAAAAGACTGGCCTCCCCTATGTCTCGTTGGAGCACAATTTAGGTTGCTACCTGAATCTGTGTCTCCAGGACTGCAGCTCCTTTTGCTCGAATAAATGCTTTCTATTCTTTAGTACACTCTAAAAATTAATTTTGGTTTACATACTTAAACCTTCAAAAACCAAAGCACAGGGAAAAAGAAAAACTTCCGTATTCTTTTTATGAAGTACCTGTAACATTAATAGTTCAATATGATAAAGTCTATACACAAAAGAACTGTAAACAGAAGAATCAGAAATAAAATATTTAAAAACAAAATCAATAGCCCATTAAAAGAAATACGTTATAATCCAGAGCGTTTATTCAATGAATGCAAGGACAGTTCAGTATGAGGATATCTATTAATTAACATATTAATAACCAAGGAGAAAAACCGGGTTTAACGCCATAGATATTGACAAGGCCTTCAAAATACAACTCTTCATTCAACCCCTAATTAAAACAGGAATTGACAGATACCTCCTGACCATGAAAAAATATAAACTTGAATCCAAGAAAGTACTGGTCTATTAATTTGTTAGCTTTTAATTAAATTACTATTACTTGTAATAAGCTGTATTTAAATATGGATATGGCTAATGTTTTCAAATTCTTCTTACCAAGTTTCCTTATTGTGAACTCTAAGTATCAGTCACTGAAAATTCTGTGAAGGTACAAAAGCTTTATTGATTTTATCATCTAATCAAATGAATACAAAGTTGAAAGCATAAGAACATATTATAAAGTATCCTATAACTAGGATGACCCTGCATCTTGGTTGCACGGGCACTCTTGGTTTATATTCATTTTCTTGGCATCTCAAAAATATCCCAGTTTGAACAATATATCCATAGCCACTCTATAACCCACAGAAATAGGGAAATTTTTGAAAAAAATTTAAAGGTAGAGTTACAGGTTTAAATGTTATTTACATATAAAGGGCAATATTTAGAAATTGGGAATTAACCAAGTAAAATCAGTAAGAAAAAAATGCAAGGTCATGTAAGCTATGTTAAATTATTCATTTTTAGCAGAATCTATAGATACTGTCTAAAATTAGTAAGTCAGGACACAAAAGTATTCTAAAATCATTCAGAATTATAGTGGTAACCATTAGAAGAATTAAAAAGAAAGTTAAAAACAGTTATTTCTAGGGAGTAATATTTAGAAGAGGAAAAACTCAGGGAAAATTCTGCTTTTCAACTGAAACCCTCTGTACTCTGCATTTTTCTACCATATGTAGCTACTACATTTATAATAAACAGATATTTAAGTAAAATAAAGAAGAAAATGATATGAACTCCCCTTCATGTTGCTGCCTTTGCTCTACAAAACTAGACAAGAGCAAAAAAAAAAAAATCAGTATTAGCATTCATACATTAATTCTATCTACCAATATTCACTAAGTGTCTCCTGCATGCCACATGCTGGATGAGGTACTGTTTCATAATATAAGACAGACTCCCCAGGAGCTTACATTCTAGAGTCACATACCACCACTGGGTCCTCCCTACCTCTTATAAAAAAGCTTGCACCTCACAGGGCTCACAAGAATAAGAGAATGTATGGTGAACACTGCAAAAATGAAAACGGAAAAACTCAAGCTGGTAATAGTTTATTATTTGATATACATACTGTAACGTGACACTGCAATTTGAAAACCAAATGATTATAATTAAGAGTAATGTAGCTCTGTGCAGCCTAGTAAGCATTCCAACACCTCATTCAATTCTTACAATTCTGAAAAGTAGATTCTTTCCCTCTGCTCATTTGAAAGCTGAAAAAACAGAAGCTCCAGGTATGATTTACTTGGCCAGTCACCATATTAGTAAATGAGAGAACTAGAGCTATATTTATTATCACAGGTCATATGTAATGTTACATAATGTACAAAATAACTATCCAATATATGTTATTCTATTTCTTATATCAGTACATAAGAAATATACAAGAAACACACACACACACATACATATATACATGTATTTTTTTTTAAGCCGAGGCAACCTTTGGTTGACCACACACATTGCAAGGACCTTGTCAGCTTACGATCTCTTATTATTTATTTATTTATTTTTTTAATGCCTACAGCACCTGGTCTTCCTGGGTGTTCTCCCATCCAAGTACTAACCAGGCCCGACTTTGCTTAGCTTCTGAGATCAGACAGGATCAGGCCGTAGACCACATATATATTTCTTATACTATAATACTATACTACCTGTCTCTAAATCCGAGCTTAATTTTTTTTTAAAGTTCAATCTGCGTTTTAGTATGTACTGAAACTGAGGAAGACCTAAATGTTTTACAAATGGTATTTTCCTATGTGACCTGTCAATGAAATAGGTGATCAACTGTCAAGGTGAGAAAAGATATTTCCTTAAAAACAAAAAGGCTTTTCAAAATCTTTTTAGGATTACTGGCTCAAGATTTGGCCCAATTTCACAAAAACAATAGTGCAGCACCTCTTCACAAAAAGCAGTGTGTTCCCCTGAAACAAGCGTCAAATGCTATAATGCTTTTATCTTCTGCCTATTACAAATTCTTTTCCAGGGAAGGACATCCTGCCTGACTTGAAATATGCTGACATGAAATCATCTCCTGGTATGAGATGCTATGGCATTAAATTTTATCTGAATAAATTTTAAACACTTTCTGAATCAGAGAAAGGAGGTATTGTTTAGTGTTAACATCAAGTATTAGGCAATGCTCCTTATGTACTGTAGTAACTTTTAAAGGGGAACAAATGTACAAATTCATTGCTATATTTCAAACTACATATCACATGAGAAATTTAAAACCCAGCTGGGATAAATGCCCTCTGAGAGGTTCTTGAAGACAGGAACCCATATCTTCATATATCTTTGCATCCCATACTATTACAGGGCATTGCATTAAAACCAGCATTTAAGCACTTCCTGGAAATGTGTCAACAACGAGAAAACATTATAACCAAAAAAATGAAAGTGACAAAACAAGCAGATACCAAACTGAATTTGTACAGAAATAAAACCACGTCTAATAATGCAATGGTTAAGTATGGGCTACTTGTCTTTCTCAAGAATAAAAATATACTCTTGGTGTCGGTAGAGGATCTTTCATTTTCAAAAGGAAAAACCACCACCACGAAATTTCTGCTTCTCTCATCCTAAACAGCTGAATCATTCATATTCGACCGCCCATAATTATTCCAAAAACTGTCAGTGCAGAGTCTGCTTTTTGGGAAGTCCAAATTTAAGACCTTCCCTAGGAGAGAATGAAAGAATTACAGGAAATTAAAGGGATTCCCCAAAGACGCTGACTTATCCGTAATCAAACAGGAGGCCTTGCTATTACTACATCAATCTCTAGTGAAGGAAAAATATTATGCTGAGAAAAAGTATTCGTTTATCCAACGAATATTTATTAAACGTCCACTTGGCGCAAGGCAAGTGGACATATGAACGCTGGAATTCCGGCGCTGCAGCCCTCTGCTCTTCGCGGGGCCCAACGCCCAGCTGGACTCGCCCCAGACGCGCGAGCCAGCGGTCCCAGGACCCGCCTCCCCGGTCCTTCCGCTACTGCCCCGCCGCCTCACGCCGACCCGACACAGATCTCTCGAGCTCCGTGGGTTCAACCATGGTGAAATGAGCAAATCAGTCTCGCCAATGCTGTGAGGGCCTACGCACGCTCCGGGTGGCAGTCGACCGGGGAGGCCAAGGGACCCCCGTACCAACGCGAGGACAGCGCCGTGCCCGAGGGGGTAAGCATGGAGAGGGCAGTATGTGTGGCGGGGACGGTCTGGGGGCCCTGGAGAGTGCGTGGGAAATAAGGACCCTTGGGGCGCTCTGGGGTTTTAGAGATCGCACTGTGGGAAGGTCTGGGGTCCCTAGGGGATCTCTGGTGAGCTTTGGAAGGCCCCGAGGGAAGAGTGGGGACGGCTGGCCGGGAAGGGTACCCGGGACGGAGACTCCCTCAGGACACACGCGGTCTGACGCTTACCCAAACAGCCCTCGGAGGAAGGAGTGGGAGGCCTTGACTCGCTTCTCGGCCTCCGCCATCAGCTGGACTGCCTCACGCTCCTTCCCCGCGTTGTCCATGTCGCCAGCAGCCACCGCCACAGCCTCCTCAGCAGTGGACGCGCGCCTTCTGCGCCTTCGCTCTCCCCTCGCAAGGCGGGGAGCGCAGGAGCGGCGCGCGCGGCTTGCCGGGAGTGGTAGTGCGGGGCTCCGACTGGGCGGCGGTAATGCGCAGCGCGTCAACTACAGTTCCCAGCAGGGCTCAGAGCCGGGCGAGATGCGGACCCAACTGGTCGACTGCCAGAACCCGGGGTTTCAGGGTGGGCGCCCTAGGCCAAGGTGAACTTTAATCGTTTAAGTGTGCAGGAAACGGAAAATGGTCCGTGGCTTCTAGTAAAGATAACTTCAAACACTCAGCATCACGTTGGTTCAGGAATTCCTGCTCAGCATGACTGACACATGGCAATAGGATGGATGAGGAAACGGGCTAACAGAATGGAATGCTCAACCTACCGGCGAGTTCCGCAAGAGGGAATCTAATGCAGCCACAGAAAACAACTTCATGAACTGTGTAATACCCATCCATGCGCCCACCCACCAGCAACACCTGAGAGAGCCATTTTTATCTCCAGAGCAAGAAGTTTAAGAATGTATAATTTTCCCAAATATAATTCAGTTATTTTTTAGTTTCCTCATTTTGCAACCTTCTGTTGGTCCTCTCTTCCTTGGTTATAAGTGATATGTATAATCCACTTTTTATTGACAGAATTCTTTTCAATGAATGTTAGCCATTGAGCTCTCTTATCCTTTACATGATACTGGCCATAGGGGGTCGGTCTCCTGGGACACAATTCCCGCCTGCCAGGAAATCTAATTTCCTAGAAGTATCCATAGACAGATGCTACCCTGTGCCAAAGATTTCCAGGACTGCCCAGAGGGAGTTATTTTTTTAATATAAAGTCCAGACCATTCACATTTGGCAATGCTAAAGCAGAGGTGGTGAAGCATATATAAAAATTACTGCCAAATGAGAACTTGTGACAATTTTAAACTATTAATAAGTACACTGTGGGTACTGGCACACAAAATGTATCTTAGAAAATGTAGTCTGCCTTTACAGAACAAGGCAAGAAGGGCCAAACTCCTAGAAGGAAAGATAACTAAAGCAAACGTCAGTGTTCATGCATTGCAGGACACTCTAGAGATAGAAGGAAATCTCAGCTTTCCAGGCAGAGTTTATTTAGTATTACTATATGCATTATTCTAACTTAATTGCTTTTGGAGCAAGATGGGGGAAGAGGAGCAGGAATTGGAGGTGGTTGTAAATGCAGGAGTAAAGAGGAAAACTGAAAAGTGGACATAAGCGTTTGAAAAGCAGAGCAGTATATGGGGATATAATGAAAAGAGCCAACTCAAACTCTGAAGTGCAGCATCAGTTAATTAAAGCAGTTCCCAAACCTGGCTCAATGCCAAAACTAAAGGATGTTCAAGAAATACTGATTCCTAAGCCACTAGCTTTTTGTATCAGTATCTCCTAGAGTTGGGAAGTGTACATTTTAAAAAGATTCTCCACAACTATTCTAAAGCTTACAATTCTCGATTCTCAAATCTGTAGTCAGCTGTACAGGAGGTAGAATGGACTGCCTCCTCTAAACTAGTACTTGCAATTAAAATTTGTGAAGAGGAAATTTGAGTAATTTACATCAAAAAGCTAATCAGCCCTTTGTTCTGCTTCTGTAAATATGCTTGCTGTATGCAGGAGCTCATGCAAGAGCTCACTTGCACTTTACTCGACTTGTAGACTTGTAAATGTAACTGCCCCTGCCTTTTGTAGCACCTTGTACCTTGGCAGGTCCCGCTTCCTGTAACAATTTGTATTCGCTGTTTACCTATAACAACTCCCACCCTTCTCCAATGTTACTACTTGCAATTTGCATAGCAACTCCCACCATTTGTAATGGTTTGAGTTCAAACTGACTAATCAGCTTATGTAAAATCCTTGTATATAAGGAATGTTGCCACTGAGCACACTACCCAGATCTTCAGAACACTAGATCCTCTGGGAGCCCATGTAGTAAATCTGAGTTCTCCTATCTCTCTGAGTTACTGCTTGTTTTTTTGCTGGACTGGTTTTGAGAGTTTTACACAACAGTTGTAGGAGTTTAATGTTTCTGGGTATTACACCCATTCTCTTTTTTCTCACAGAGCACCTGTAGGCATTCCTACCCTTCCCCTAATCCACATCCAAGTGGGAGAAAAGCTCCAAACCTTAATTGTTGTCTAGAATGAGTGTTTCCTTCTCCTAGAGGCTAGGTGAGTGGAGGTGGCAGGGCAGAGGCACAGACCTTTCAGAGTGAGAACTGACTAGAGGAACAGATGAGCAATCCATGAAGGAAGAGACTTGCTCAGGATTTCTGAATAAGGAAATGAAAATGAAATGAAGCCAGATCATAGAATCTCCCTTTCTCAATCCCTAAAATAAATGGACAAAAAAGTGAAAAACTAGCAACTCTTTTCAGAGAATTAAGACAGAGGGAAATCTCCCTGTGCTGGATCAATCACTCATTCAGCCCCCCACCCTTTCCTCCCCAGCTCCACTTAATGTAGGGAGGAGGCAAGAGAATTAAAATGTTAATCAAACCACAATCAGAGACTGCAATAAGGTGATCAGCCTTGCAGCCAGGCCAGGACACCTTCAGAACAAAGGAAGATTTCTGCTGGATTACTAACAACCCATTCTCCATACCTGTGAAGGGAAAACAGGGACCAAGAGTCATTCCCTATGGCTAAAACCATGGAGAACCTGTGGATTAAAGCCTGGGAACTGCCAGCAGGCCTTTCATTCTGCATATCCTTACCTTTTCATGCTACTTACTCTTCCCTTCCTCACTGTATGTCCATATCAAAGGAAATGGGTTAACAAAGTCTTTTAAACAATAACTAACAGGAACTAAAGAATGATATATAAACTGAATTTCCTGAACACTTGGCCCCCTACTCACTGTCTTTCCATGTCTCTCTTGGTCCCTCTTACTCTCTGCTTCTGAGAGAAGATGACACTCTGTCTGTGGAGTGTTACCTCTTTTATAATAAACTCTCCTTTTGACTCTCACTTTGGCATGGGTGTTGAATTCTTTCTACACTCTCCGCCAAAGGACCCTCTTCTCTTGGAGCAGGGCTTGGTCTCCCCCACCAACTCAGGGAAGTTTGCCCTGTACTGCATCACACTCATACCCTTCTCTGTGCTGCCCCAGAACACGGGCCTGTGTGAACTCCATCTGTGGATCTCCCATGCCCTCTGAGTTCCTTCTGCATTTCGCCAACATGTTTCCCAGAGTGAGGTGGAGGGCAGACAAATACTGTAATCACGGTATTTGTTCCCCAGACCCTCTACAAGGGGGCTGGCCGAGGCTCCCTACTCCTAGATGACTCCTCTCATAACTTCTGGCCCTGGAGTGTGCTAGCATGAGGGCTTCTAGCTGCGGATGATGGTCCTGTGCCAGGAGTTCCTTTGCACTTACAGCACTGTAAATATCCCCTGTAAATAAACCCTCCTATTGCAAGTGTGCCTTTGTTTACTGGGCGGACCCTGACTGAAATGTTCTCTATCTCATTGTATGAGACTGGTATAACCTTGAAACCCAAACCAGAAAGGCTGGTATGATAAAGCACAATTTTGGGCCTGTCTCACTCATGAACGTGGGTACAAAAATTCTGAACAAAACTTTAGCAAATACACCATGAACAAAAATTTAGATGGTTATGGATATAAATGTGAAATGCTAAACTTAAAAACTTTTAGAAGGTTTAAATGAAAACATAGGAAATTAGTTTTATGACCTTGATTTACTAAATTAGATACCAAAACTGTAAATTATAAGAAAAAAATTAAAAAGATACATCCACTCTGTTAAAATTAAGAATTTTCCACCAACATAGCATAACTCAAATGAAAAGACAAAATCACAACCCAGAAAAATATATTTGCAGCACATATACCCCATAATAGTTATGATTAAGGATAAAGATATCCTACAATTCAGTGGAAGACAACCAAATAGAAAAAAGAGCAAAAGACTTGAAAACTTGAAGTTCACTACAAAGTCTTGGCCCTCTTCAGCTTTTACTCTTGATGCTTCTGGAGAATGTCCGCTCACAGGAAAAAAAAAAAAAAAAAAAGAAGAAGGATGGCAAGGTAAAATAAATGTAGGAAAGCAGCAGCCTGCATAACCCCTTTGCTTTTTATTTGCTTTCAAAATGAGACCTGAGGGTTTTTTAAAGGAAGTAGCCTGTTTAGGAGCTGGCAAACCAATCAGGTATCCTTGCTTTCCCAAAGATTTTATTACAGCCACTTTACTTTTTAGAAAGACCTACTTTCATACCCATTTTCACTAGCAGAAAGAAATCCAAAGAGAATTTTAGTTTTTATGAAAAAAAGGGAAAAGCTTTCGCTTTCGTTTTGCGTGAGCCATTATTATAGAGGCAATGTGCACAGTGAGCAGTGAGAGTGGCCTCACGAAGTTCCTTCCCCAAGAACTACACTCAGCATCTCAACATCAAGCGTTTGAACTGTCTGTGAGCATCTGTGCTTCATCTAGATTTATTTTGTGCATCTGTTAGCAAGATGTGTTCTAAGGTATCAGAAGCCTAAGAGCTCTTTAGGGTGTTACGCTTAGTATAAAACTACATCATTAAACATTTCAATTGTGGTGGATGAAAAAGGACATTGTTTGTACATTGAACTTGACTATATCCATCATTCATACTATTTACTCACGGAAAGAATCTTGAAAGCTGCCGCTTACTATTGGTTATGCTAGTTCAAAATGATCTCTTTTAGATGGTATCTAGGAAAGGATAAAGTGGAAAGTCTATTGCTTGAGTGGATTGGTGGGTGCAAAAGCATGTTGTGTATTTATTATATCATTCCTAAATCCTGCTTTTCACATGTTAGTGTTATTTTAGATTTTATGTATTGTTTGGTATGACTAGGTTATTTTGTGGTCTGGGAATGCTTCCAAATTTTTCCATATAAGTTAATGGTAATTGCTTCTTTGCTTTAGGCCATTTCAGCTTATGAAAGGTTTCATGGGAACACTAATTTCAGATAGCCAGAGGAAACCTGTATTGTATTATGGAAAACATCTGCAGAAAGGAGACCAAAGGCTGCATGAGGGCGATGGCCTGCCAACAAACCCCTCCGCTTTCAGTGTCCTTATCCATCACCAATCTCCAGCTGGGAGTCTTACACAGACAGTGAAAATGTTTGGACTCTTTGACATCTCTGACTTTCTGAGCTTCATGATTTCTCAGGTTCCTTAGTCTGGAAAGAAAAAATGTATACTGGCCTTTTGGGGCTAAGCCAGTCCAAACCATCTGTAGCACCACCTTGTCATTGTTGACATTCTGTGCCTGCTTCTGGCCTGCCGCCTGGGACCAGCAGGCATTTCCAGCCAAGATCAGCCATACCTTTCTGCTGCAGCCCCGGGGATGGGAGCCCAGGGTTGTAGTGAGGGCAGCTGTTAGTGGCTTGGGCAATGCACCCCTGTACCTCCCTTGGGAGAGCACTCAGGCAGGTTCCCAGACTGCAGATTGCTCCTTGATGGGCCAGCTTTGAAGGGTTTGTGGAAGCAGGCTGGGTCTCAGGTAAATTTGCTTTCTGCCTGGTCAGCAGCTAGTTCAGAGCAGAACTATTTAGGGGATAAAAAAGAGCTTATCAAATAGTGCTACTAAAAAAAAAAAAAAACCGCGCAGAGAATAACCCAACTGAGATCAGGTCTGTTGTTTACAAGGACTTATTTTTTCTCCTAGAATGAAGAGAAATGCACAATAGCATATGTAGGCTCATGAAAAGAAGGTCACACACTGACTCTTATGTCAGCTCCTGTGTGACACTGTCAGTGGTAATGGGAGTGGAGAGAGGGCAGGAGCGGGCAGTTTACAGGAAGTAGTCTCAAACCCCAGAACAGTTGCACCTGCTTCACCTCCATGGCAACTGGGGGAGGTTTCCCTTCTTATTGAAATAGCTGACACCATTGAGCCCTGGACACCAGATACTCTGTTGGGATCTTCTGTACTTTTTATAATTTAATCCTCACAATCCTCTGAGGTCTTTACTATTATATTGATTTTACAGATGAGGAAATTGAGACTCAGAAGGTGAAGCAACTGCCAAGCAACAGTGGAGAGACTACTTTACGTCTGGCCCCGCTGTTTAGTCCTCCCACCCTCATGGCAGCTCTAGGTTCCACAGCAAGACCAGGATTGACCAGACTAGATGTCTGGGCTCAGTCTGTCTGGGCAGGGGATGCTCTAACTAGCTACCTATCCTGGTACTTGCCTGGCATCCTAGGGCATGGAGTCCCACCTGCTGGGTGACTTTCGGGTCTTTTTCTGCTTTGAAGAGCAAGGACACCCCACTTCAGGTTTCCAATCAGAAGTATAACACGATGAACAATGGTTTTGACCAGATTGATGGGTGATCTGTACAAACCAGAGAAAGCTGGAGTCAAGGAGGAGCCTGAGAAGTTTATCTGGGGTGGGGAATGGGAAGCAATGACAAAGTAGGAGGAAGAGTGGATTAAAAACCACAGCCAAGAAATTCCTGGTCTCCAGATCCCTCAGCCCACACAAGCAGAACCTTACTGTCTACAGTGATAAGACACATCCTCCTTTTGTTTCCTGCTTATTTTCCTCTGGGAGCAGTCTGGCTGGTTAGCAACGAGCAAAACCAGGAAGGTGTCCAGCTTCTTGGGCACCCACCACCTCACTCACATACCACAAAGCCATGGGCTGGCCTAAGACAGATCCCATCTACTTGCCACCATGACTG